GTAGCCATATAAGGCAAAAATTTAACATCTAATAAAGATACGAGGCAAGACCTCACCTTAACACCGAAAAAAAAAAACACTTATTATTCAGATATTATCATAGATAATGAAAATCTTCAATCTCTGTCAGAAGACGGTTTTATTGACGATCAACTTAAAATTAATTAATTAGTATATGATGAATTTAATAAAGAAAATAAGAAAAATGTAATTACAAGTATCTTCGTACCCTTCTTGCCTTCAGATAATTGAGAAGACACTGCTATAAATAATACAATCAATAGACTATTAACTAATAGTGTTACTATTGAGTGGCCAACAATTGATAGCAATCCTATTAATAAATTTCAAATATCAGAATATATTGCATATGCATTTTCAACTCTTTATCTAACCGGGCATGCCAAACTTCGTTCAGTACATATTAGAGATATTAAACTAGCTGAATATTTTAAATATTTGTTGCTATATACAGATAGAAGGTTTGCTCATCATACTTGTTAGCAGTATTTCACACTTAATTCACAGATGAGATGGTGAGCACTACAGGAAGGAAGAGTATATGTTAAACAAAATTTTAATGATAATCAGCTTATAGTTGCAGAAATACAAGAAATAATAGCTGATAGTAATACACATATGGCTAATCGGATTATGAGATTTGGTCTGGGTATATGCAGATCAAAACAGTTTTGGAATACGAGATGTCAGGAATTGTCAGACATGATTAAGCAATTAGGTTCACAAGGCTTAATATTTTTCACTTTCAGTGCTGCTGATCTACACTGGCTAGAACTTCATACACTTATACTTTTTAACGAAAACTATTATCAAAACATCGTCAACAATCCTCATCTTGCTATTTGATTTTTTAACAAACGGTTCAAGATTTTTTTTAACAATGTGCTAGTAAAGAAATAGAAATTGGAAGATTGGTAGTATAGATTCGAATGGCAACATTGTGGTAGTGTTTATGTACATGGAATCAGAAAAATAAACGATGTACCTAAAATTGAATAGAAACAACTAAAGAATAACAAAATCAAATTAAGAGAGATAACAAAATAAATTGACTCTTTGGTTACTACAATTAACCCAGAGCCTGATTCCCTGTTCCTGATTGCTATCTGTGCCAAAAACATCATGAAGAACTAAATGATGATTTACAAGATTATGTCGAATTAGTTAACAAGTTGCAACAGCACACACAGTGTAGTCCTTCATATTGCCTTTATAACTATAAAAGACAACAATCTTGCAGATTTGGATTTCCTAAGGAGAAAGTAATTCTACTTTCTTGCATGATGATAGTATAGTAATCCTGAACTTGTAGCGACAAGAAACAACCCATATATTAATTCTCATAGTAGACTTCAACTTCAAGGATAGAGAGCAAATGTCGATCTTAAACCTATTCTTAGTATTCATGTGGCTCTACAATATATTTCTAAATATGCAAGTAAAGCAGAACCACGATCAGAGGCCTTTTCACAGATATTAGATCGAATACTTAATAATAGTAATGCTACTAATAGATTACTTGCCCCAGTTCAGAAATTATTGCTTCATAGTATTTCTGAACATGATATATCCGCTCAAGAAACTTGTCATCTACTTCTTGAAATTTCTCTTTATCATTCAAGCTGTGCCTTTGTTTTATTAAATCTCAATAAAGAAACAGCTCGTTGGCTTCATGGTGCAGGTGTTAGAGAAGATGAAAATTATAGTAAAGTTGAGAATATTGGATGGACTAATCGATCTACTTTAAAAATATACTGGAACAGGCCTTCTGCGTTTGAAAATTTTTCATTATATAAGTTATATCTCACACATAAGTTTACTAATAATAAATAGAAAATAAGTGATAAAGAAAACATTATATGAATTTGGCCACAACTATCACTATTGCGAGATAGACTGGAATGGGAGGAGTTCTGCTATGTGAAAGTTCTTTTTCATATTCTTTATTGGGATATTCAAGAATTAACTCACAATAGTAAAATTTCATAGTTAGCCTTATATGATCGCTATTCTAAAGAAATTAATATCGATCCAATTGACTTACTTGAACCACCCGTAGATAATGATGAAAGTGAAATAACAAATGATGAAAATGAAGAGAAAGAACTTGAAGATAATGAACAGGATGAATGCCGATTTGACCGGATGCTTCTGATGAAGATGAGTCCTAATTCAGTATTTGATTGCACTTCTGATCTTGGATGTCATGATATTGATCGAAATCATGACTGAATTAGCAATATCAGACAATATTATTCTGATACTGACCTTGAAGAAGCAAGCTCTTTCATGCAAAGAGTATCTAATCGTGATAAATTAAATAATGAAATAGAAAGAAATGAAATCTCTAACACTGATATTATAGATTATCAGATTCTAAATGATAAACAAAAAATAGTTTTTAAGCAAATAAAGTTACATTATCACAGCATTCTTATGGGCTATCAAGTTGAATCACTTAAGATTATCATCATAGGGACTGCTAGTACAGAAAAGTTATTTCTAATCAGAGCAATCAGAAGTCAACTTTTTGAAATGGCGAGAACCATGTTCAATTTGCCTATTTTAATACTTGCTCCAACAGGTATTGTGACCTTTAATATTAATGAGAAGACAATTCATTCAATTCTTTCCATTCCAATACCTATTAGTAATAATAAACTTGATATAACTGGTGAGCGATTGAAACGTTTACAAAATAAATTACAACACATATATTATTTTATAATTGATAAAAAAAGTATGGTCAGACATCAGATGCTTGTCTTGGTCGATTTACGGTTACGTCAAGTTTTTTCTAAGCACAAAAATCAACCATTTGGCAGAAGATCAATTATCTTGTTTGGTGATTTTTTAACAAACGGTTCAAGATTTTTTTTAACAATGTGCTAGTAAAGAAATAGAAATTGGAAGATTGGTAGTATAGATTCGAATGGCAACATTGTGGTAGTGTTTATGTACATGGAATCAGAAAAATAAACGATGTACCTAAAATTGAATAGAAACAACTAAAGAATAACAAAATCAAATTAAGAGAGATAACAAAATAAATTGACTCTTTGGTTACTACAATTAACCCAGAGCCTGATTCCCTGTTCCTGATTGCTATCTGTGCCAAAAACATCATGAAGAACTAAATGATGATTTACAAGATTATGTCGAATTAGTTAACAAGTTGCAACAGCACACACAGTGTAGTCCTTCATATTGCCTTTATAACTATAAAAGACAACAATCTTGCAGATTTGGATTTCCTAAGGAGAAAGTAATTCTACTTTCTTGCATGATGATAGTATAGTAATCCTGAACTTGTAGCGACAAGAAACAACCCATATATTAATTCTCATAGTAGACTTCAACTTCAAGGATAGAGAGCAAATGTCGATCTTAAACCTATTCTTAGTATTCATGTGGCTCTACAATATATTTCTAAATATGCAAGTAAAGCAGAACCACGATCAGAGGCCTTTTCACAGATATTAGATCGAATACTTAATAATAGTAATGCTACTAATAGATTACTTGCCCCAGTTCAGAAATTATTGCTTCATAGTATTTCTGAACATGATATATCCGCTCAAGAAACTTGTCATCTACTTCTTGAAATTTCTCTTTATCATTCAAGCTGTGCCTTTGTTTTATTAAATCTCAATAAAGAAACAGCTCGTTGGCTTCATGGTGCAGGTGTTAGAGAAGATGAAAATTATAGTAAAGTTGAGAATATTGGATGGACTAATCGATCTACTTTAAAAATATACTGGAACAGGCCTTCTGCGTTTGAAAATTTTTCATTATATAAGTTATATCTCACACATAAGTTTACTAATAATAAATAGAAAATAAGTGATAAAGAAAACATTATATGAATTTGGCCACAACTATCACTATTGCGAGATAGACTGGAATGGGAGGAGTTCTGCTATGTGAAAGTTCTTTTTCATATTCTTTATTGGGATATTCAAGAATTAACTCACAATAGTAAAATTTCATAGTTAGCCTTATATGATCGCTATTCTAAAGAAATTAATATCGATCCAATTGACTTACTTGAACCACCCGTAGATAATGATGAAAGTGAAATAACAAATGATGAAAATGAAGAGAAAGAACTTGAAGATAATGAACAGGATGAATGCCGATTTGACCGGATGCTTCTGATGAAGATGAGTCCTAATTCAGTATTTGATTGCACTTCTGATCTTGGATGTCATGATATTGATCGAAATCATGACTGAATTAGCAATATCAGACAATATTATTCTGATACTGACCTTGAAGAAGCAAGCTCTTTCATGCAAAGAGTATCTAATCGTGATAAATTAAATAATGAAATAGAAAGAAATGAAATCTCTAACACTGATATTATAGATTATCAGATTCTAAATGATAAACAAAAAATAGTTTTTAAGCAAATAAAGTTACATTATCACAGCATTCTTATGGGCTATCAAGTTGAATCACTTAAGATTATCATCATAGGGACTGCTAGTACAGAAAAGTTATTTCTAATCAGAGCAATCAGAAGTCAACTTTTTGAAATGGCGAGAACCATGTTCAATTTGCCTATTTTAATACTTGCTCCAACAGGTATTGTGACCTTTAATATTAATGAGAAGACAATTCATTCAATTCTTTCCATTCCAATACCTATTAGTAATAATAAACTTGATATAACTGGTGAGCGATTGAAACGTTTACAAAATAAATTACAACACATATATTATTTTATAATTGATAAAAAAAGTATGGTCAGACATCAGATGCTTGTCTTGGTCGATTTACGGTTACGTCAAGTTTTTTCTAAGCACAAAAATCAACCATTTGGCAGAAGATCAATTATCTTGTTTGGTGATTTTGGTCAGCTTCCTCTTGTGCTTGATCACCCGATGTATACTACAACCATTTTAAGAGATTCACTATCCAATGATAGTATTGTAGCATATAAACAATTTCAAGAAGCATATAAACTCGATACTATTTAGCATCAATCTGGTGACTCTGAAGAACAAAAGGAATTTAGGAATATTCTCTTATGATTGCGTAATGGTGAATTGACTATTACAGACTGGAGAACACTTGGCACACAGTTTGAAGATAAAATAAGTAAAACAGAACATAACCGATTCTTAAATGCTATGTTCATTTTTTTTTTTTTTTTTTTTTAACGTCTACCCTCTTGGAAGCTAGGATTTTTATTCAGGTATATATAGCGAAGGGTTCTCTAG